GCGGCCGCTGGGAGTAAGTTGTTCCGCATGCAATTTCTAGGTGTGCGCGGCGCTCGGCGCCGCGGGCTATACTAATCTTAATCCAGAATGGTAAGTTGGACCTGAGGTAAGTTGAAATAGAGGACCCCCTAACCATCATTTCAATTTTTCGGGAACTTCAAGAAACCTGCAATTCGATAATCGGGTTTTCCGCAATACTTTAATCGATAATACAGATAAGGAAAACCTGCAGATATAAGTCAACAACACTTCCAAATACATTAAACTAAAAGTGCATATAGCAGTTATTAAACTATATTTTACTGTGTATCCGAATTCCCCACCCACAAAACCCTATAAACACCGTTTTCGTAGGACAAAATGCTAGAAGTATAGATTAATGAGTGGGACTACATTAGCTCGCGGTTGCCATTTTTTGCAATTTGGACTTTTTTGCGCAATTCCTGCTATCACTTATCTTTTATGCGCATTTCTGTTCCAGGTGTTTATGCTGGGTCTGACGGAGCCCCGATACGTGCATCGAGCGAACCTGCGACTCTGGTTGGTTCACGTGAAGGACTCCGACAGTCGGCAGCAAGTCAAACGACGGCGTCTCGCTCCCTCACTAGCTCCCCTGATCGTGCCTTGCAGTATCATCCTGACCCGCGAAGACCCTTTGGTTCTCGCACAGAAGGCCCATTTGAGGTAAGTCCTGAAAGTCCTTCATGTTTGTCTCGTGTGTGTCTGTGTGTGTTTGCGCCCTTTTCGTGTGCTTGTGACACACGTTGGATGAAGGCTTCGCGCCATGTTAGCCAGTGTGCCCGATCCGTTGTTTGCAGTTAACATCATTCAGATACTATTACCGGCAAAGACAAGGAAGATTTGCTTCGAATAGATAATGGCAGAAGGAAGAACGAATGGTGTTGATCCATCGAGGATCCAGTATTTAATACTACCATTGTGACTAGCCAGACAGGCTTTATGTGTTGGCACATAGTATCACCCGACCACTAACGGAACTCTGCCTGAGGTCTCAACAAACGCCCTTACAGCTGTCTGGCTAGTAGCCCTTGTTGGATGAGGAGTCCCGCCGGGTGGGCC